TTTGTTTACCACGCTCGCTCGTATACATCACTGCCGACACGACACGTCTGTACTATTCACAACACATCGCCACCCGATCGTGCCGCCTATCAAGCCGTATCAACAGCCTGCTCATCTCGACTCATTCCTCAGTCCGAGCCTCGTGAGATTGCCGGACCAGCACGCTAATCTGCGTACATACCTTCCAGAAGACTCAACGCCTTGTCAGACACTGGGGTTTCTGAGTTCAAATTTCAATCGAGGCTTGCATTCGTCCACTCTAAAACGAATAAACAACCGACGGCAGAGTCTCATCCTCAAAAGTGAGCTAAGAGCGTGCCTAATCCACCTCGCAGACCTCAGCTAGCGTGCCGGGTCTTGAACAAGCCTTGGCCCTACTCTCAACACCAGCCACCGATAAAGGGTTCGGCCAGCCAGGTACCACCGCATATCATTCTTTTTAGATCGTCTTTTGCCCCTCCCTCACACATCAAACGGAGGCCGCTTGTGACCTACGGATATACAAAGCTCCCAAGCCTCCTGGCTCGAGTCCACCATTCGGGTCTGATTCCCCTCCTCCTCTCTTACATCTTTTTGCGTTTCGCCGCCATGCAGCAGTGAGGACGCTAAAAGAAGGCCCGCATCTTGTCACCGACTCTACCCTGCATACGTCCGAGTCCAGTTATTGGACGTTATCTTCCCTGTCGTTTCCGTCCTGCCGTCTTGGGCAGAACCTTCTGAACCTCTTCGTCCCCTCTTATAACAACCCATATCGCCTCACGTCTCGGCCACCGGTCTCTTTCGCTACCATGGCCTCCGACACCAAGTACGACTCCCGCCTGGAAGAGGGACTGCTGCCTATCGACGAGAAGAGGGATTCCACCATTTCCAGACCGTCCAAGGAACCAACCAAGAAGATGGCTGGCCCACGCCGTGTCCTGCTCGGCGTTGTTGTGTGCGGCTTGATGACACTCAGTCTTGCTTCAGTCATCGGTCACCGGGGCATGCCTTGTGCAAGGGATCATCACACCAAAGCCCAGGTTGTGATCAGTGAGGAAGACCTCAACAACCCTGCCAAGGCCGATCTCCTCCACAAACTGCTCCATGCCTACTTCCCAGACAGATATCAGGATGGCGTATACGCCTCTGATAAGGAAGCTTTAGAGGCTGTCCAGGCTGATGATGCCGACCTGGCCTCTGCCTTGCTCCAGCTGGCCAAGCGTCAGGACAACACCACGACCTCTGCTGCTACCGAGGCTTCCCAGACGCCTTCCGCCAGCGTAGCCGCCACAACTTCTGAGTCTGTGGCCAACACGCCGACCTCAGCCCCGGCTACGTCTGCCGCTGAGCCTACCACATCTGCTGCTCCCGCAGAGACGACTACATCTCAGGCGCCGGCCGTCCAGACGACCACGACCACGACCCAGCAGCCGCAGGAGACCACTACCCCTCAAACCACCACCACTCCGGCTCAGGAGACGACTACTACGACACCGGCAACTTCAGCAGCAGCCCCTACTACTGGTACGTCACAAACGGAGCAGGCTACTTCTGCTGCTCCTGATACTACTACTACCACTGCCGGGCCGCCGTCCGCCTCTTCTGAGATTCAGACGACGACTCGTGGGTCCCCTTCTTCTTCTTCTCCCCCTTCCCCTTCTGCTGCCCCCTCTTCTGAACCTACTACGGCCTCCCCAGGGTCTACGAGTGCGTCCGCGTCGGGTACGTCTACCTCCTCTCCTCCCGAGACTACTACGGCCGTGACATCCTCGTCCCCCATAACCTCGAGTGCGCCTTCTTCATCATCCTCTGTGTCCGAATCTGGTATGTTGCGTTGTGGTTTTGTAGCACAGTCATGTTTTCGAGCGAAGGCGGAGGCCGTTTTGGAGACTTATTTGGCATTTTTTCCCCTTCGACCTTTCTCTAGTCATGGCCGTTTCATCAGTGAGAAAAAGAGCAGTACGCTAACTTTCATAACAGAGCAAAACACTCGGGAGACCACCACCGCGACCACCTCGCGCAGAACCACCACTTCGTTCAGCAACGTCCTCTCCACCTTCACTTCCACCGCCTCCAACGGCGACGTCGTGCTCGTGACGGCGACCTCCGTCGTCGCCGTGGCCCCCGACGCCGAGCCGACTTCCACCTCCGGAAGCGGCGGCAGCGGCGGCCTTCAGAACGGTGCCGCCCCCATCGGCAGCGTCTCGTTCGGCGTGCCCGTCGCCCTCGCCGGATTCGTCGCCGGCGCTATGCTCCTGCTTTAAACACAGAAGCAGCGACATTACCATCGTCACGTTGAGACGATTATTCTGTTTACATAGTTAATCATTCCTTTATCACGGTGTTTTCGGTACAAACGGAGCGGGCGGCACACACAGCATCATCAGCATTACTTACTCACGACATTCAACGGTCTTATTCACTCCTTGCATCAAACTGGTGGGCAGAACAACACAACACACACACACAACAACATAGAATTCGCGCGGCAATGCGCTTTCCCGCAGAGAGGGAGGAGGCAGAATAATAGACGGAGGCTGGGGAGAGAGAGAAAATGAAAATGGGACAGGGCCTCGGTACGGCGGAAGAAAACAGGTGTTGACAAGAAAAGCAACTCCACCTGAAGGCAGTCCTTAGCAGACCAGACCCATGCAACAACAGACATGGGAGGAGAAAAGAATGAAATCAAAATTGACATTTCAAAGTTTTGAGACAGTGCCGTGCCGATGATTTGATGATGGCTTGGAACATGCGTGTTTGATTGTGGGCGTTCCCGCATTCCAGCGTGAAGCTGGTAAACTTATGAGACTGCGCTACTGTTTTGGAGGCATTGGTATGTGGGCGCATGCCCTTTGGAGATGAGTGTCAATTGCCCTTGAACGGCATCACCTAACCATTCGAGGCGGTTAGAATAGCAACTGTGGTTTGCGAAACGTCAGTTAGGGGGCAGTCAAAACAACACGTGGGCGCTGCATTTTGCTTCTCTTCATTTCTATCTTCCTCTTCATGACTTTGCGGGTATTCATAACGCCAAAACCAAGAAAACTCCTAAATGATCCATCCACACACGAATGCTGTCCGATTTCGTCCTCTTGCGATATGGCCTGCGGCCTTAGCCAGGGCCAATCTTGGGCATGTCGTGGTGTTCGCTCAGCTTGGACAGATAGGTGTTGAGCTCTTCCACGCGCTCTTTGTGTGTCTTGAGTAGTTCGGGTCTCGAGCTGGACGACTCGGCAAGTTCGAGGAGCTGTGGGGGCATCATCGTCAGCGTTTTTTTGTCCAGCAACAGCGAATCAATGGTTATGGTGGGAAAACGTACTCTCTTGCGCTTCCTCTCCTCATATCGCCGCTCGGCTTCCGTCTTGTGTCTGCCACCACCACTGCCGCCATCCTCATCGTGATCACCATCCTCTGCCTCAGGGTCTTCACTCCTGCGCTTCGTCCTCTTGACCTTCTTGTCCTCCTCGTTGTTGTCGTCGTCTTGGTCGGAGCGGCGCTTCACCAGCGCCATGCCGCCGTCAGTGCCATCGTCGAGATTCTTCTCCAGGTCGGTCTTGTCCTTCCTGCTCTTCTTCTTCTTGGGCTTGCCGACCTTGGCGCCCTTGAGCTTGAGGCCGCCGCCGACGGAAGCGTACTCGTCGATCGGCATCGTACGCGCGGAGACCGGGCGTTGGTCGGTCAGTTGGCGCCCAGGTTCAGGTATCCGCAGGAACGACTGATGCGCGTATTCGAAGTCGGAAGGGATGGGAGGGGAACGGATCCGAGCTGGCTCTGTCCGATCCGCGGCTTGAGCGGGGAGTTGCTCGTTTTGTTTGCAGGCCGGCGGCGGTGCTCCGTAGGTGTGGTTGCTTTTCAGTTGTCTTTGGTTTCGTTAGGTGCTCTTTAGTGTTGGCAGGCAGACCCCTGGCGCGCCTCGGTCTGCCGCTTCAGTGGCTTCGGTGGCTTGATTTGGCCCCCTTCCCCCCCTGTCTCTAGCGGAAGTGCACCGGGAGGAGGCATTGCGCCCCACACCTTTATCCTGGTGGCAGGCGCCAAGATGATTCTGCCGTGCAAACCACCAGCGGCCAATCATGGTTTGTTCCGGGTCATTGCTCCAGGGCACTGAGGGTCTGAGCGGGCACGAAACATGGGGGCTTCAGTGATGTTCCTGGAGCCAGCGCAGTCCCAGTCGCAGATTGAGATTGCCCAGAGCCCACCTCACAGCCAAGAGGCGGTTCTGGCCTGGGTGCAAATGCTTGACTCGGCCCCGTTCGTCCCTTTCAGACACTGATTGACTGAACTGGCTGACAACCAAACCACTGCTGCAACCGACCAGTCAGTCTTCTGAATCTGAGGCTCTGAGAGGGCGGCACATCCTGGATTGCTGAAAGAAGAAACGTAATCCAGTATTCTTGGCCGCTTGTCGCAATTCTCCGAACCGCCTTTGTTTGCGCCAAACTCAATTTTTCTTTAACCTCCTTTCCTCCCAATACGTACCTGTACCTCAACACCACCACCACCACCGACGACACCCGGACGGAAACACTACTACATCAGTACACCTCCTCCTCTCTGTTAAACCCCCCCGGCGCCCGAGGCAATCTTATTTGGACACCAAAGCGATACATGTCTCTTTAATTGCACAGCACTACACGCTTGCTTGCCTTGGATAACTTGGATTTTTCCGACTCTTGTTTTTCTTCTGGGGGACTCGGAAAGTGGGCATTAGAGAGAGAGAGAACGGGGCACGGCGCAACTTTGTCACGACTCCTTTAAACGAAACGTATATGCGAACGACGTCACGACGAATTCCTCCAGCCACCGCTACTTAATATTCGAAACACCACTGCGTGCGCAGGCGACTACTGCGTGCGATCCGTCTCCACCGGCCCTGAACCAGTCGGCGCTGCAACATGCAATAGCCCTCGCTGCAACTTCTTGAACGCTTGAACGAACCGACAGGTCGAGCATCGCTGCTCGCGATCCTCCTCCTCCTCTCCCCCTTCGCTCGAAATCCACGCCCTCCCTTCGCAGACGCAGCCATGCCGCCCTACACGAACATCCAGTCGCATCGCGACTCCCTCGAGCTCGCCTCCCTTGCCTCCTCATCTCGCGCCGAATCCGTCGTCTCAGACCTTCCCTCCTCGAGGCCCTCCATCTCCTCCTCGCGCAAGCTCTCCTTCGAGGCCGAAGACCCCCTCGATGCAGCGAACCCTGCCGCCAGCTCGAACCGCCCCAATCGCCATGACCGCTCCTACTCAGTCTCCTCCGGCTTCGACTTCGCCGCCAACCTCTTCCCCCTGAGCTCCACCGCCGGCGCGGGGGCAGGCGGGTACGCCCCCATCGGCGCCCCGACCTCGACAGCGATACAGAACAGTGGCCTCGGCGGCGGCAGCTTGGAGAAGCACAAGATCCTCACCTACATGAACGGCTTGAGTCTGATTGTCGGTCTCATAATCGGCAGCGGCATCTTCTCCAGTCCCAGCCAGGTCAGCTCTAAGGTTGGGTCGCCCGGCGCCGCCCTCGTGGTCTGGGTTATCGCCGGCGTGCTTGCTTGGACAGGTGCTGCGAGTTATGCCGAGCTGGGCGGCGCGATACCCCTGAACGGCGGCGCGCAGGTCTACCTTGCGAAAATCTTGGGCGAGATGGCCGGGTTCTTGTTCACGTGGGTCGCCGTGTTGGTTCTGAAGCCCGGTAGTGCGGCCATTATCGCCATCATCATGGGAGAGTATCTGGTCAGGGCGGCGATAGGCGCAGAGGCGGAGAGCCTGAGCCCGTGGATCAACAAGGCGGTCGCCATGGTGGGGTTGATTCTGGTCACGCTCATGAACTGCGTGTCGACGAAGCTGGGCACGAAGGTGAACGACTGGCTCATGTTTTTGAAGTTTGTCGCCCTGCTGGGCGTCACCGTCACCGGCATTGTAGTCGCGATCACGGGGACCACCTTGACGGGCAAGGCCAACATGGAGTGGAAGACGCACGAGTGGTTCTCCGGCACTTCGACAGATCTCTCCAACTGGGCCGTGGCTCTGTATGCCGGTCTCTGGGCATACGACGGCTGGGACAACGTAAGATTCTCTCCCTGCACCGAGGTGGCACACCTTTACTAACATGCGCAGACAAACTACGTCGTCGGCGAGTTCCGCAACCCGAGCCGCGATCTTCCCCGCGTCATCCACACGGCGATGCCTCTTGTGATCCTCTCATACGTTCTCGCCAACATCTCGTACTTCCTCGTCCTCCCTCTGGCGACGGTCAACGCCTCCAACACGATTGCCGTCCAGTTCGGCGCCAAGGTCTTCGGCCCCGTAGGCTCCCTCGTCCTCGCCCTCATCGTCTCGGCATCCTGCTTCGGCGCCCTCAACTCCTCCACCTTCACCTCCTCGCGCCTCGTCTACGTGGCCGGAAAGGAGGGGTACATCCCCTCCATGTTCGGCCGCATTGGCCTCTCCCCATCCGACTCCCACTCCGTCCAAACCTCGCGCACTTCGCGCGGGCGCGTGGCCAACATGCTGATCCGTGCCCTCGGCGATGATGATATGGGCCTGTTCTTCACGCCCGTGTGGGCGCTCGTGCTCAACGGCGTGCTCACGGCGGCGTACATTGTCGTCGGCGAGTTCGGCACCCTCCTGACGTTCTACGGCGTGGCCGGGTACACATTCTACTTCATCACGGTCCTGGGTCTCATCATCCTCCGCGTCCGCGAACCGCAGCTCGACAGGCCATACCGCACGTGGATCACGACGCCCATCATCTTCTGCTGCGTGTCGCTCTTCCTCCTCAGCCGCGCCGTCTTCGCGCAGCCGCTACAGACCGTCACCGTCGTGCTGTTCGTTGTCGCTGGCGTGCCAGTGTACTTTTGGCGCATCCGCGGCCGCGATCAGCAGGTGATCAAGCGCGAGACGAGACATGCGGGACATGAGGAGCGGCCCTGGTGGCAGTTTTGGAAACGGTCGTAAAGCCTTTTTCTCTCCCACCAGATTGAAAGCATCTCTTAGGCCGTTCGCGGGTGCGGTTGTTTGATTAGACCTTTCGTTTTGCACAATGGGAACAAGACGTTTCCGTCTGGAGCATTGGAGAGGGGAGTATATATATATCTATGGGCGGTTGTGTTTCTCGAAAAAAATGGAGTTATACTTCTCTTTTGGAAAACAAAAATAACCAGGCAACTTGGAAGCGCGCGCGCGCTGTGTTTTTCTTGTTGCTTAGGCGGCTGGAGCATCATGGGTGGTGGGAAGAGCTGTTTATGAAAACATAGCCGTTGAGTGTGGTAGAAGACGGACCCGAGAGGTCGCGCGGCACACGGAATTCTGTTCGACGACACCGCGTCGTCTGGACCCCCAGGAAGGGAACAGAAAACACAGACGCACCTGTACTACTTACTTGTCTTGTAATTGAAAGCAATGCATATACATGGGGGCTACGGGACCGGCCTCATCTTTTTAAATCCCATGCAATCAATCAGCGTCGCGATTTCCAGTCAAATGGGTGAAGTTCCATGATGAGTGACACTATTAACCACTGTTTGACAGCCAAGGTGTGTGCGACGGAAGCGGGCAGCTAATAAGACGTTATTGGGTATGGAGGAGTTCTGCGGACGAAGTTGGGAGGGAACAAATGAACCAGCGAAAGCAGCCACTGTCATCAACGACAGAATTAGTCAGTTATCATGAGGATATCCTCAAACCAGTCACAGAACCACCACGCATTTTCAGAAAAAGTTTTTTGAACATCGCATTAGATTGCATCCTATATACTACAACCTAGTCCTCCTTTTGTGGAAGCACTATGCAATGCCGATGCATAACTCGAAATTCAACGCTTATATATAACACTTAAATATCCCTCACTGGGTATGATGCCATCATCCTCCACGTCTACTTCTTCTCACGCTGGCCGTAGGCCTTGGTGGCGTAGTCGCCCTTGTGGACGATGAGGTCCTCGGGCTTGTAGTCCTCCTTGCCGCTCAGGTAGCTCTCAATAATGGCCTTGGTGCCGTCGGCGTAGCGCTTCTGGGCATCCAGGGAGGTACCGGACATGTGGGGAACCATGGCGTTGCCGCCGCCGAAGGGGTTCTTGGCGGTGCGCAGAGGGTGGTCTGCGGGGGCGGGCTGGGGGAACCAGACGTCACCTCCGTAGCCGGCGAGGTGGCCAGACTTGAGGGCGTCGGCGACGTCCTCCTTGACGACGATGGCGCCACGGGCGGTGTTGATGAGGTAAGAGCCCTTCTTCATCTTGGAGATGAGCTCCTTGTTGAACATGCCGCGGGTCTTCTCGTGCAGAGGAGCGTTGATGGTGACAACGTCGCACTGGGCGAGCATCTCCTCGAGGTTCTCGACGCGGCGGCAGCCAATCTCCTTCTCCTTCTCGGCAGACAGGGGCTGGTAGTCGTAGTAGAGGAGCTCCTTGCAGTCGAAGGCCTTGAGACGGCGCAGGACACGCTCACCGATGCGGCCGATGGCGACGGTACCGACGACCTTGTTCTCGAGGTCGTACTCCTGCTTGGCAACAGCAGCGACGTTCCAGTCGCCGCGCTCGATCTGCTCGTGGGCGGGAACGAAGTTGCGGACGAGGACGAGGATGGTCATGACGACGTGCTCAGCGACGGAGACGACGTTGGAGCCGGTGACCTCGGCGACGGTGATACCGCCGTTGGTCTTGTTGGCAGCGTTCAGGTCAACATGGTCAGAGCCGATACCAGCAGTGACAGCGAGCTTCAGGTTCTTGGCCTTGGCGAGACGCTCAGCGGTCAGGTAGCCAGGGTGGAAGCTGGGGGAGAAAAGCGTGTCAGTCGTGGTGGAACATGGTGATGCAGCTGATGTCGGTCTGTACTCACGGGGTGGTGATGATGATCTCAGCGTCGACGAGCTCCTGGTCGAACTTGGAGTTCTCGCCCTCCTTGTCGGAGGTGGTGACGAGGGTGTGGCCCTGGTCCTCGAGCCACTTGCGGATGCCGAGCTCGTTCTCGGTGGTGCCCAGAAGGCCGGGGACCTGTGTGGTTTCGAAGTCAGCCCAGAAGCTCCAGGGATGGATGCGATGCACCCCGCATTTGGTAGTTTCGGAGGGTCATTGCCAAGAGTTGGGGCAGAATGCCGATGTATCAGCGATCGACCTCCGAGCCCCGCACCTCCCGTCATCCCCGCACTAGCTCTCTGCAGGCGAGACATCCTGCTTGAGATCACGGCGGGGCACAGCTCCGCGCGAGCTATCATAGTGACGTTTCTTGGTGGTGAAGGCGCGGGTGTGTCGGATGCCATTGTGGGAATCTGGGAGAACAGGAAGTGAGATGGCACTTACGTCCTTGGCGTGCTGGCCGCCGTCGTAGAGTACTGCGAGAACCTTGACCTGGTTGTGGGGAGTAGTTGTTAGTGTGCGGACCGAAGAAAGCTGGCCAGGCAGTTTGCGAGGAAGAGCCGTGGAGGGAGCAACGGCTCTGCTGATGGCAGGCCGAGCCAGGAAAGATGCCTTGGAGGACGAGTGAAGTCCCCGAGAGACAGAAGGGGCAAGAGTGCGAAGGTTGCGAGAGAACAATACCATTTTGAAGATGTGTGTAGAGGATGAGCTTGTCGAGACAAGAGATGTGGTGTTGAGTGAGGTGGGAGGTGGTCGTTATATAGAAGAAGAGATGAGAGCGATGTAACAGATCCGTAGACTCGGGATCTTGCAGACTAGGCTGATGAGATGTGTTTGTATGAGATGAGGATGAAAATAGGACACGGAAAAGCGGCTGGTACAGGTTTATTTATGCTTGCAGGCATCACCGAGAGGCCGGGATGAAGAGGGCGGGGAACATGACCGACAGGAGCAAGTGTGGTACATGGTGTACATGGCTGAACGTTCAGAAAGAGGCAATACAATCCGACGAGCGCTCGTCTGCGTGGTCTGGGCTGGTTCGATGTGCCAGCTTCTCCTCTCCGAGCTGCGTGTCTGCCTCCCGCCCGTTGTCCAATGTCGGCCGTCCTCCACCTCTCCGAGATGCCAGATTCCCATTGCCCCTCCTTCCCAGAGTATCTCCTTGAATAGTCAGCCACTCACACTCGGACGGAAACATGAAGGTTCGGGAAGGCAGCGAGGCTGGAGCATAACCGGGAAGGTACTGCTTGCTAAGACCCAGCTAATGGGAGGAACATGGCATGTAAGTGCGGCAACTGACGAGGAGTGAGGAGGCACGCAAGCACGGCATCTCGTCCGACAGGAAACGAAGATACCGACTACCCAGCGAGAAACGGTGATCTCTGGCTGGCTAGTCTCGTCTCTACCTAATTAGCCACACTCACTCTGCGAGGAAGTGAGTGAAGTATCCAAGTGCGGCAACGGCTTCTGTCCATCTGCACCTCAGGTTTCTTCACTGCAATGCACACTCACTACTAATTACTATCGATTCGGGATCTCCAAATCACCCTCTGGCTAGGATGCGTGGGGTAATCTGCTCGGCTCCCCCCATTGGTCGCTCGCCCAGCCGCCATGGTTCGTCCCCTCCACCCGAGCAACAAGCTGCCCGCTTCAGTTGGCAGCACCTCCCATGGCGATGAAACGCCGCAGTCCCCGGCAAATCTTCAACTTCAACGTTGTCTGCAGCCATGGAACATTGGTCTGCCCTGCGACCAGGGCCGCCATCCACCTCGCTCGACCCAGATACCAAGCAACACCCAATTGGCGTCTGGCGCGTACCCTTGCAACGCACGACAAGGCTACACGACACGCCCGAGGAAAGACCATCGACAATCAACAGCAGATGTCGTCCGTCCATCCATCGTGGCTAAGCAGAGGCAGATGCAGGTCAGAGTGAGGGGTAAATGGACCTTCCAACCTGGCATCATACGTCCGCTGTTCCATCCAACGCGGCCAGATCCCATCACCTAATACAAGAAATGCAATCCAATCGTTATCCGCCGCTACCAATTGATCGTCTGTTACCATCACACACACCACCAGCTTCCTGCATCAAGAGCACGCCGCTGTCCTCCCAATCCGCCGCGTGTCTGCGCAAAAGAGAGGCCGGCTGTCGGTTTCCAGGGGCCTGGTCGTTTCTAGCTGCGTCCTAGCTCCCTCAGGCCATGCACAAATCAGCACTCATGCGTCCTCGGGTGGCTAGTACGGAGATTTGTCGTCAAGCTTCGAGCCCGAGAGGTGTCTTGTCTCCACGGTGATGGCTCGGCGATCTGTCGGGTTGTACAATGAGGGGTAGAGCTTCGGCGATTGTTGGCGCGTGCTGGCTGCTCGCGCCGGCACCACACCTTTGTGTCCTCGGAGGCACATCCGTCTAGCGACCGTCGGCATTCTGCGCGGCCAGATGATGCAGCTTGCGGACCTGGTGCGGATTACGGCCAGGCGCTGGCTTCCAGCTCGGAGTTTCGTCATCTTGAGGTTATCATGATTCCATCGATGGGTCGGCCTTCAGAAGGCAATGGAATCGGGGCCCATCGAAGACGGCATCATACGGCCCAAACTTGCCGTGCCTCTTCATGCTTCCGTCATTCCAACAGCACAAGGACCCGCGCGGAGCTTCGTGTCCCTGTTCTTGCGGGCCCGTCGCGCCCTATCGGTCCACAAGCGCGGAGCTCAACGGCTGCGACGGAAACCGAGCGGGGCCCTCTGTAGTGAGGCTACATATTACCCAAAACAGCTGTGATTAAATAACAACGGGCGCTTGGTCTAGGGGTATGATTTTCGCTTCGCATCGTCGCTTCTGCGCGCTGCCAATTGTGAAAGGTCGTGGGTTCAATTCCCACAGTGTCCATTGTTTTTGCATTTGTCTTCAACTTTTTTTCCATTTTTGTCATTTGCCGTGAATCCTGCTTGACCAAGCTTGAATAGTGTTGCTGGAAGACCTTTGTGACGTTTGACAGTGCATACGAATGCGGGGTAGCTATCTAATATGACAGCTACTGTGAGATTTCTCAGACCCAGTTCTAGTTTGTCACCACAGCATACGTGCTGGAGGCCGGCCTCAGTAGATTGCTGATTTTGTGCCAGTTGAATCTCAACACACCTACTGCCTTGGAGCCAAGAAGCGGGTTGTTCTGTTCACGTTCCACTGCTGTAGATGGCGGTGTACTCATTGACGGACCAATATGAGGCTTTCCTAAATCGTTTCCATTTCACTTTGAATTCTTTCAAAGCGTGTGAACTAGTCGTGATGTAATCTTGTGATCAATCATTCGAGAGAGGCCCAGATAGCAGGGCAACTTCAGTTTCTTTTATTCCGAAAACGTGAATGTCCAGTTCTGATCATTGCAGTTGTCAGATACATTAGCAATTCCTTTGCGAAGACTTCACTCAGAAGCAAGCGCTCCCGAGATACGCAATCTGAGTATGTTCCCAAGTCCTGCTGTGTTACACCACTCCATCAGTATAAATTGATTTTGCGGAGTTCTGGACATATATGAAATATGCGCTCTATTTGTCCTCCCGCTCTGTTACTCAACTGGCCCACGCGCTGCACGAAACGAATGTACAGAGACTGAACTGGCTTGAGCTGGGGTTTTGAAGCTATAAAACCGAGATCAGATTGCTAGCTAACCACCATGGAAAGTCAATCTGAGCTGACAGTCACATGAAAAAGCGCGAGAATGCGACTCAAAATGAGTGACGAAGGTGGTGGTGCGATGGCTAGAATGCCGTGTGAAGACCACATTTTCGGATCATGGAAATCTATGGCATCGAAAGATATTCCCATCCAAACGTCATGGCTCCTGAAACCTTCGCCATCGACCTCAGCCATTGTAGATCAGACATGTGCTTGCCCTACCTATGGTACAAGACTTTCAGGCCATCACAGGCTTTGGATCTGTTGGTAATTTCGACGCACGCGAAGTTGTTGGACGCTCTAGATCCTTCATCTGTCCTGGCGCCGTCCACGGAAGAACATGGCTGCTGTCTCTGCAAACTCAATTACTGATCTCAACTACCGAAGGCGGCTGCAAACAACTGATTTCATGTTCCTGGATCTGCATGCCGTGTTTGGCGCCTCAACAATCATGCACTCTAGACGAGCCACCTGAACCTTTTTCCCTGTCATCAAGGTTCTTCCGAGGCATCACCAATGTCTTATAAGGATTGATCTCATTCTTTCCAGATGCCGGGTGACTTTTTGGAGCACGCTCGACTCATCTCTGCACTCGTTTTATCTCTCATCCACGTAGTCCAAATGGGTTTCAGCAAGAGGTCGGGACTGGCGGTTGCCATCCTGCTCGTCCAAGGAAGTTTTGTTTCAACACAAACTATCGTCACCGTGACAGAGACCACTGGTATCTCCACAAGCTCCTCGAGCTCTTCGACTTTCACGAGCTCTTCCGTCAGCTCCACCTCTTCTGATCTCACGACTTCGTCCTCTATTCTTTCGACTCCCTCTGGCTCCACGACTTCCTCCGACCCCGTGACCTCGTCGGAGAGCCTCACGACTTCTTCTTCTGTCCTTACGACCCCATCTGGCTCAACGACTTCCTCCGATTCCGCAACCTCATCGACGAGCGTCGAGACATCTTCCTCTATCCTTACAATTCTTTCTAGCTCATCAACCTCCTCCGACCCCGTGACCTCGTTAAGCCTCACAACCTCCACTATCCTCACGACCCCCTCCGGCTCGACAACCTCCTCCGACCCCGTAACCTCGTCGAGCCTCACGACTTCTTCTTCTGTCCCTACGACGTCCTCAAACCCTACAACCTCGTCGAGCCTCGCAACATCCTCCCCTGTCCCTACTACTCCGTCTAGCTCGACGACTTCTTCTGACCCCGTAACCTCTTCCAGCCCCACGACTTCTTCATCTGTTCTGACGAGCTCGTCTAACCCCACAACCTCGTCGAGCCTTACGACTTCTTCCTCTGTCCTCACTACTTCCTCCAGCCCAGCAACCACTTCTAGCCTCACGTCTTCTTCGTCTCTTCTGACGAGCTCCTCTAGCTCTACGGATCCCTCTGTACCCACAACCTCTTCCTCTGTCCCCACGACTTCTTCCGCTCCTACGACCTCCTCTGTTCCTACCAGTTCTTCTGCCCTCACAACCTCTTCTGTAATTTCTACGACAACCGTTGGTATCACAACATCGTCTGCTCCGACGACGTCCTCGGTTCTGACCACCTCGTCTGATCCCGCCACGACGTCGTCCGCGGCTACAACATCGCCTGCTCCTACGTCGTCTGCTCCCACGTCGTCTGCTGCCCCTACGACTTCGTCTGCTGCCCCTACGACTTCGTCTACTGCTACGACATCATCTGCTGCTACGACATCATCTGCTCTTTCAACATCATCAGTCCCTACGACCTCGCCAGTCCCCACGACATCATCTGTTCCTACTACTTCAAGTGATCCTACTTCTTCATCTGTTCCTACAACCTCATCTAATCCCACAACATTATCTATCCCCACAACTTCATCTGTTCCCACGACTTCATCAGTCCCTACGACTTCATCAGTCCCTACGACTTCATCTGTTCTTACGACAAGTACCTCTACGACATCATCCGTCCTTACATCTTCTATTCCTACGACCTCTTCCGGTCCCACAACATCATCTGTTCTCACAACATCGTCTGTCCTTACATCTTCTATTCCTACGACCTCCTCTGGTCCTACGACTTCCGGTCTCACGACCTCTTCTGGTCCTACTTCTTCATCTACTCTCACTACTTCGTCTAGCATCACAACCACAACCCCGGCTGGCTCCGTTTCAACTGTCCAGGGCGAATATGGATGCTACACCGACTTCGGCCCGAGGTCAGTCGCCAATGTAGAGACATTCTCCAGAATCTATTCCATCACCACGCCCGTCACCTACTACAACTACGTCACCCCATCCAAGGTGACAGTAACTATCACTCCTACCGGGGTGTCCCCTACCGGCCAGACAGGTCCCGCTACCATCACGAGCACCCTGACTCTCACAACTATCACCAGCATCACTGCAGGCACCTTCGCCACTGTGCCAGCACCAGCAGGATTCACACCTCTCGCATCTGCCCTCGTCCGTGACAGTGCCCAGAATGTTGGCGGTGATTCTTCTCACGTCGAAGAGCGTTCTGTAAGGCAGCCTCTGGTGCTTGGCCTTAACGCCAACAATGCTGCCCTTGTCGCCGACCCTCCCCTATTCCCTCAGGTTGTCCACTGCGAGCGCGTCATTCGCATCTACACCACTACCACGGTGGACAACACCATCACTGGCGTCTTCACGACGTTCGTCACCGCACCGACGCCTAGCCAGAGTGTCCCATCCGTCCCTGCGCAGGTCACCACAACCACCACCACGTACGCTACGTCGACCGTCACTGTTGCATCGATGCCGACTGCGACGCTTTACGCAGCTTGCCAGTCCGATAACCTGGTCTCGCACGTTCCTGGCAGACGCCCCATCGTTCAAGCGGCCAACGATTACAGCATCACCCGTGAGAGACGCCACGCCGACTCGGCCTACGCCTGCTGCGTCTCGTGCCAGCTGGAGAACGGCTGCACGGGTAGCTTGTACTACCGCGGCGCATGCTTTACCTTCAGGCCTTCCACCGACACCCGCGGCAACCCTGGCGATCTTCGCTACGGCCGCAGGGCCAACTTTGATGGCGCTTTCGTTGCCAGCAATGGCAAGTGTGGCTCTTGGAGGCTCTCTCAGACCCCTCCGACTACGGAGTGGGAAAACGAGCCTTTCGTTCGAAAGTGAAACCCGGGAGCAACCTTTCGCTGAGCATGTATCGCTAGTCTGTAGACCTTCAGCGCCATCCACATTAGAATTAGAATTACCATAGCATAGAAAATAACAAGGTGATGAATTTGGAAATAAATATGTTGATTCGAGGCACACTTACAAACGCTGCTGACCCTTGGAAGTCTCCCGGGGCAGCCCCGGGTCCGGGCCGTGCCTGCTTCCAGATACGGAAAGTGGAATGGTGACCGGGGCACAGTGCGAACTCACTGCTTTCTTGCCCAAAGACGCTTTGGTGCACGGTGTCTTCCACCAGGCCTGCCCTGCCAGGCAAAGAAGCATCGACGACTTCTTATTCTCACGACGCGCAGTCCAACCTGCATCACGACTTCAAACTGTCATTCCATTCCGCGACTCGTCGATTAATGATGCGCTACTTTCGCGGCACAGCTTACCAGATGGACGGTTCGTAGGATCGCGATGCACAGGGGTTCAGGGATATCGAGCCCTGGGCCTTTCCTGAAGCTTACATTGGCATATGAGGCTAACCATAATGGCAGCTTGACCGTTTTGTCGACTCCATCAGAAAATGGGTACAGTTGCGATCACCTCAAATACCAGTGATAGCTATGTTGACATCCAGAGCGCCTGATTGCCTAGGGAGGATGGACTCCTCGACTTATGAGGAAGAAATCGTGCCGCCGGCAACGTACTGTTGTTCCTGGAACGATCACATCATACGCATCATACGCAAGTCCGGCATTCTGAATGCAACCCCTCCATACCCCTGGTCCGAAGGAAAGCTAATCTCGAAAAATGACGATTCAGAGTCAGTTGCGAGCCGAAGCAGGAACCAACAAGAGCGACTGATCAGCAAGTGACATGACAGTGCCCTTGGAAACCGCCAGGGACGCGGGCCACTCCCAACAAGATGCTGGGTAGCACTGCCTTTGCATGCAGAACATTTTCGTGGGGTTCTCGACTAGGCAGCCGTTTAGGAGATTTAACGGCGGCTAAGTACGGGACGGAAACCAAAGTCCTTTTCCAGTGCCTGGGTTGAGAACAAAACCCACGCAGTCCGCCTTGGCTGTCTCCTTTCAACCTCGCCTCCGGGACTCGCGACCGGACTGTTGGGTCACGATCACGCAAAGAAGGATTCCGTCGATCCTTTTCGCCTCTTTCTGTTTCTCGCCACTCTCCACCTTTTTCGCCGGCCCCTCAGCTGGAGCTTCCTCTGAAGCTTAGGATATCAGCCCCGCGTCTGCGTCTGCATATCACCCGCCCGCAGGCTGAGCAGACTCAGAAAGAAGCAGCAAGACGAAAATATAGACATGCACAGCGCAGTCTAGCGCTTGCCTGAGCATATCGTCTCGCGCTCATCCACGGAAATAACGATATGCAGACGACATCATCATTGGCCGAGCGAAGCGCTGCATCGTATGCAGCTTCCAAGTAATGCGGACATAAAATTCAGCGGCCGCTGCGATTAAATCGATAGGGCCACGAAAAGGCGAATGGACCAATAGACGACCACTGCGTCCTCTGATCGAGGCTACGGGCGCTCTGGAATCGCAAAGGTGTCTGGGGTCGAGCGGGAGACAGAGAGCCGTGATGGGGGCTGGTGAAAGTGAGGCCCAGCATCTGTCGAATGGGCGTCGAGAAAGGCACGAAAGAGCAGCAGACTGCGGACCCCAAGCCCCTGGGTTGGGGCACTGATCCCGGCAGGTTTGTCGCTTTTTTGGATATTTGCATTCAGCTTAGCCCCTGAAGACGCGCTGTATGACGGCCCCAGGGTTGCATCGCCCCGTACCTAGATTGGTCTTGGCGATCCTTTCAGGCAAATTCGTCCTTATCCACGCAGCGAGGGCGCCTTGGTAAGTGGTGACTGAAGACTGAAGCTGGTGGTCACTGGTCACTGAAGGTGGGCAGCGTGCGGGAACTGTGAGCTGGCTGAGGAGGAGGTGAGGTGCTGCTGCAGCCCAGCCAGCCAGCAAGTTGGCACGCCGCACCTCAGCCCGCTCGCCCGCTGCAGCCAGCCCGCCATTGTCTGCATCCTGGAAATGTCATTTCTCGGGCCCTGGGCAACAATGCGTCGTGGACTCGTGGGCCGTCGATCGGACAAAAACATTCCCCATCCACCTTGCAACGGTACCCGGCTGTCGTCTCCTCGCCTTGAGTGCTTGCTCGTGCTCCTTTCCTCCTCTCTGGCTCGGCTTGCGGCATGCTGCTTGCGACAGCTTCATTCCCAAACACACCACACAGGAGTGAGTCGTGCGCCCGAGCACGGTGAAAATGGCGACATTGGACCCGAATGCGTGGTATCGCATCTCCGAAACACGCGTCGACAACAGCACCGGCCCCTTCGCCCTCAACCTGCAGCTGCGCACCGAGGTCAATGGTCTCAGAGTCCATCCGATAACAGGTGGAACAGCGGCCTGGCAGTTCCAGCCCTATGGCGATGTCAAAGGCCGCTACCTCATGCGCCTCGACCAGACCGGTGTGAAGGCGCAGCTGAGCGCATGCTACGACTCGGGCGAACCAGCCACGGGGAACACCATTGCTTGTATGAAGGAGTCTTCGACGGACGAAGCTCAGTTGTGGGATGTGTCTGACTTTGGGTCGGGAACCTTCAAGTTTGTCAACGTGAAGAACGGGACCAGCTACGTGCTGGACGTGCACCCGAAAGACAACCTGTTCATGTCCAACGAGATCGACGGGTCTGAGGGTGTCGCAGAAAATCAACTTGCTCAACATTGGGTTTTGTCAAGCGTTAGCGCCGTCAATGACGGCGCCTACTCTACCATTTATTCTGGCGTGAGTTTGACTCGGGAACCGAGCACCAATCGAAACGGGAGCCGCTAACCAGGTGGTGCAGAACGTTGCTGTCAGCACTAACTCAGCTGCGCTTTCATCCTCTGCAACTACCACCACCCGAACAACCACAACTTCCACCTCCACAGGATCGACACAAACATCTTCGACAACAGGGACTGCGTCCCCTGCCGACGCGATGAGCACGCCCACCGCGACCAGTACGCCGTCCAAGGGGATTTCAACCGCTGCCGGAGCGGGCATCGGCGTCGCTGTTGCGCTCAGCGTCGTGGGATTGATAGGGGCGGTGGCATTCTTCTGGTGGCGACGATCCCAGCGACCGAAAACGAAATACAGCGAAGTCGAAGCGAAAAACGGCGAGCACCCCGACCGAGGTTCTTCAATAGGCATTTCACAATCTGGCGAGAGCGCGCCTTCTTCATTACATGGCGTTTCCCCGACCGTAGGAGTATCGAGCTTGAATGCATGGCAGCCAGCATCATCCGTCTCCGTGCCGCCAGCATCATCCTTCGTCAACGGGCAACCGCAGCAATCCGGATACTACGCCCCGGGACAGCAAGCGACCGGCGGTCAACAGGGTGGATATTATATGGATCACCAACAACAGGCCATCGGGGGACAGCAAGCTGCCGTCTACGCCGGCGGGCAGCCGATGACTATCACCGAACAGCAGAATATAACGTATGTGAGCGGGCCGTCGCCAGTCACGGGGGGATCATATGGCGGGCAGCAATCAGACTTTGCTGGCGGAGACGGGCCGATCGCATCACTTTATGGGCAACGACTTCCGCCGACGACCAGTCAGACACCAGGCGCTTCGATCTATGGACAGCGAAATGCTCCGACGGGCGGATCCGCCTCGCTCTACGGACAATCAATAGGGCCAACAACCACAACCGCTCCTGCGGTTCCCCGTCATCAGTTCGACCATCCGACGGCCGCTGCCGAATTCGCCCCTGGAGCAGCCAACACATCGGCACAGCGAAACGTTTATGGCGCCAGCCAAAACCAAACCAGTTCCACAGTTAATCTAGCGGATTTTGAGCCGATGCCTCAGCCACACGAACTAGAGGCTGCGGAGCGAGAGATCGTGCGGCGACAACACGAGCTGGGTACCTTCCACCACGGCCCGGATCTTTCTCTGAATGAACAGCCAGCAAAGGCCCCGGAAGCCCCAAAGGTTGAGCTGAGTGCTTATCAGCATGGGCCCGACACTTTCTCACGGAACGAGGCCAAGATGTTGGGAGCGCCGACGGCCGAGCTGGGAGCATACCAGCACGGCCCTGACACATTTGAGAACGAACACGAAGCCAAGGTCCTGGGAGCATACCATCCCGGGCAAGATGCATTTACGCGGGAGCGCGAGGATAAGGTGCTTGGCAGCTTTCACGACATGATGAAATTGGCAAAACCCACAGGGCGGAGTGCAGAGCCGCAGTCGTATGAGATGAATCCCATACGGCCTACGAGGGGAGCACATGGCGACACAAACAGATGAGGTGTGGGAACAACCTTACACATCGCAAAAGCGAGAATCTTTATCACCGAGTACGAAATGTGGCCTCTAGGCGGAGGGGCTCAGCTGAGCAACACCCATGATACCCAGACAAAGACCCGCACTGTCTTGTCTCAACCACTGCGGCCATTCAGCCGCATGAGCCACTCAGTCAGCCATGTGGCTTGACTGCTTACACTGCCTCGGGGGACACTTGAATCCCATGCGCAGGAATACAGATGCGTCACATGGTCAACCATTAGCTGCAAGGCTTTGGCAGACGCCGACAGAACTTTATCACAGCCGCCAGCTGCGATGTCTGAACGCTCGAGGTCGCAGTAATGGAACGAGTCATTGAACCAGACTCAGCGGCGCCTTCTGCTCGACGCATCCGACACATCGTCGGTGTCACGCAACCGGCCTCAAACCATCACCCGCCGACACAGAGCTCGAGTGAGGGACGGTTTTCAACCGACCAAGCGCACATCAAGTCCCTATACAGGGCAGACTACAGAGGCAAATATATATCCTCACACAGTGCCACTTCTTGCAGATTTGCTTGAAAGCATCTAAGAGAAGACACAGCAGGTCGTCATCACGACTTCAAAATGTCAAAAACATAGATATAAATGAAATCTAATAATAATTCATGAGAATCAAGACATTCCCAATCCAGTTCTTAGGTCCTAAGGCTACCGCCGCTCACAAACTCGGGCCTGGTCATATGATTCTGTGTGGCGTGTGCCTTTTCGTCTCTCAGCTTTGGGAACATGTGAACATAGCCTTCTACTCGTGCAGGTCGCATACGTCACCGTTCTGTGCCAAACCATGGCATTCCGTTAGGCTTATGAGCTTCTTCAGACGAGTTCAACCTCCATCAGGCGCATCTCATTCAGTTCTGCCGGTATTCATACCAAACGTCACTTCAACTCATCCGTCCACAAGCCGACGTTCTGGATACCTGTTTGAGCTCAGGTGATGTTTACTGAGGGGCCACCCAATATAGGGACTGGAGACGATGGTGCCTTGTTGAGTTTTAGTGTCCTGTATGCATTGACCGATGCTGCTCGTGGGCAGGTGTGCTCTCGAAGTCGTTAGAAGGAAACCCACGATGAATCATGCCGCCCAACATCACGCTCGAGAAAGAACGTGTGCTGGTTGTCTGTCAAGGTGCTCTCACAAGGCTGGCTGCGCATCAGATCTGGCTGTTCTCCTCGGAGCCTGAGACACCCCTCAGTCGAAATTGAATTTGCGAGCGAAGGCGCCTCAAAGATTCAATGAAAAAGCAGTCCTGCTGTTCCCTCCTACGCGGCAGTGTCCTAGTCTAAAGTCACGCGCCGTCGCGATGACGTACCACGCAAACCATCTCGTCAGCCGGATGAGCCGCGGATGCTGAGCACACACAATGTGAGCATCTACTTCGAACCTAGCGTAAATGGATTGATAGTTTGCTCTTAACGACGGGCTATGTGATGGCCAAGACTGACAGGACTCAAGACCATCTCGGATACATGACGCTTCTTGCTGCTGAAGAGGCCTACGCCGAAACATTCAAACTTCCAGGGAGAGGACTTATTCTCCCTCGAATACACGAAGCTTCCGGAAGGAAGGAACATGACGAGGAGAATGCGACCAAAGCATGCCGGTGTATGGAAGTCCCTTTTCAGGATATATATCACTGGTCTCGTCTATCCTCGAGAGAATAGTCCTCTACGGAGAACGATTTATGGAGCTGGCTATTTGTGCTTGTAGATATTTCGTGATTGCTTCTCGAGAGTCGAGGCATGGGCAAGGGGTTTCTTCCAACGACTTTTGGAAGAAGGACACGAACAACGGTCGTCGCTCGTACCTGGCTCATGGGAAACCAACACAGCCAAGGAAGACCTGTGGAGTCCTGGCATGATAGCCATGACGACAACCAGAACGTCGGTTCATGGGTTCGCAACTGGGGCACTGCAAAATGCCTGGGAATAGTGAATTGGCATATTGAATGATAGCGAGACGACGATAGGACGTGCCAACATTTCCACGTCCCCGGAGAGCTGCAACAACGATGGCGAGCCACCTTATCCACATTCAAGAAATTTGAGATGGAGTCGTCATGGTTGTGGTTGTGGTTCTCTGAATAAACGACGATATGGCGAGCATCGAGCTGGATCAGACCACACATGAACTCAAGGCACCAGGCTTTTGATGAAATGGACCCATGGCGGATTACTGTTGTCTTCAAGATCTACCCTTGGTAGATCCCTGCGGTCGCCCTGGGAACCTAACAGCATCAAGTAGGTGATGGAGGCGTTGGTGGACTTTGTCTTGCTGCGTGGACAGGGCGTGGTTTTGAGAAGCAGCCCCAAGATGTCCACGTGTAAAGTGGAACGTCACATATGAGAAACGACATGACCGGCCCATCCAACATTGAGGGACTCGTACATGTATGGAAGCACGTCACCTAGCTTGCTACCAGGAACGAAGCAGACCAACTTGGTGATCTCTCTAAACTGCAGCAAGTTTTCCTAGGTCCTGGCTCATTCGTGTCAGATATCTCGACGAACACAGATATGAAGGCCAGTCAATGTTAGCAGACAAGATAACACTCAGAGGAGGCAATAATCCACGGTTCAAATGGCCACTACGGTCCCCGCGCGTTCAGGACAAGACGGATGACTTGACGACACCCATTATGTTGCCACGTAGGTTTTGAGATTCATAGGTGCAAATCCGTTTTAGTCAAAAGATACCATTGTGGTCTCTACCGATCCCCAGGACACACCTGATTTCCGGACTGGTCACGGAGGCAAGCCGAGTGGAAATCGGGTCATCGGAGGACGAGTCCGGCCCCAATCTGCAGTGCAACCTCAACCGGTACGGGTTCCACCCGGCGCCGAGCACCGATTCACACCGGCGGCATCCGGGGTCTCACGGACTAGAACGCGTGGTCGCCGCGAGAATCAACGTGAGTTCAGAACCAAGTATCCAGCCCGCGTCGAGCGTCGTCAGCTCAAGCTTCTTCACATGAAGCCTGAAAGTCAAAGGAGGCATGATTCACCGAAGACGACCGACAACAGCGAAAGTCGACGAAAGACATCCCGAGGCAGCTCCCTTCCGAACCCCTCATCTCGTCGGTCGGGAGACCCTCGGCAAGTTTCGATGTTGATATCCCCCCCAACCTTCTCCAACCGCAAACCTGATCCCTGTCCTTGCAGCTGAGATGGTGTTTAGCTGAACCTCTCTCCTTCTCCAGCATTTATTTGACTTCAAACATGTGAGATGGGGGGAAGTTCGGTTGTAGACGGTGATGCCAATACTTTGATATTGGTACGCCGAACTTGATGTTCGCACCCCAGATGTTTCTTCTGGCTCTGAGGGAGGGGGCGTAGCTGCATCGACAAGTCCAACCTCTCCCCGGCGAAAGCTTGTTGGAGATATCTCCCCCAGAAGGGTGGTGGTGTTGTTCCGCAACACTCACCATGCCGTCCCAACCATGCTACTTGCATAATTGAACATAGCATGTGATGAGAGAACCTGAAAAAGAAGAAGAAGCTCTCCGGCCTGTCTGCAGAAACGGAAGCTGCAGACGAGCTGACCAATAGAGGAATCTGCCGGAACGTAAAGCAAAACACGAGGGAGCATTGGCTCATCTCGAGATGGGCTGATATCACAAGTTCTTTTGTGATGACGAGCGCTTCGAACACAAACGGATGAGCTGTTCATCAGAAAGATGGTGAATTCTTCACCTCGGGATGGCACCTCAATCTCCAACGGCGTGTACGCCTCGGTTGTGCAAAGAACGCCACTTTACGAGCAGCACATGTAAGTCACTTTTGGGGTAAGCAAAGAGCTTAGCTGCAAAGCGAGGCAGTTGCAGCAAAGGCTGTCTTTTTGCTCTCTCTTGCGTCTTCTTGTCAGCAGGGCCGATATCGCTGCAGCTTCCGAAGAGTTTTGACACCAGCTGCCGTGATATCAAATCCTTCTCGATAGAGAAACAAGCTGAATGGGATCCCAAATCTGTAATTCACGGGCCTGACTGCCAATTTTAGAATTGCAGATTCTGTGAGGTATCTGCAGGGTTTGCGAATTACTTGCCCTCAGGGTAAAACGGCTCGCAACTGAGGGGTCGAGGCCCTCGACACGCGGGCATCTGTCAACCTCGATGCTCTCCGTCAAGACAAAAACTCTCGTGAGGAGCTCCTCTTGCGAACCCGGGAAGAGTCGGGGAGACCGAGGAGGGGGCTCCGGGTCTACCCTACAGTTCGTGGGGCACATCGTCGTGGTGGTCAGGGTGCGGTGTGGGGGAACTGGAGTCTTGGACGAGGCTGTGGACGCACAAAACTCTAACCGTCACGATGGCGGACAACCTAGCATAGAAATCGACAATTTTCAATGGAGGTGCGGACTCGGGCAATGTCCGAAGTTCTTCCCCAGAGAAAGAGCTTGTCAGAGGCGCGGCCCAATCAGGAGCAGCAATCTGGACTTGATCTTGCATCTGGCAGTCTCTCGTTGGTGCCCGAGAATCGAAACTGGGGTAGGCGTAGGGAGGACACGCGGAGAGTGGTGGTGAAAAAATGGTTGGCGCGCGCCAGAGGGGGGGACCGGTTCCGAGTTACGGAGACCAACGGAGGTATACGGAAGACGTGACAGCTCCAGGGTTGCATCGTGCGGGGAGCGACGCCCCCGTCGTTAGCTCCATGCGGGGCCGGGGAGGGGCGGTTTGACGCTCTAGCTCCAAGCACCAAAGAGCCGCTGGTGGAGCGAGCTAGCGATACCGGTCTGGGTCGCGTTCCCACGCACTTGATGAGGAGGGTGAGGAGGCGGAGGAGCTGGAGGAGAAGGTGCGGGATGGCTGACCATTTGGCAACACGATGTGCATCCCGGCGTTTAACCGCTCCTCCGCTAGGACTCTCACCTCACGACGGCGAGACATGCTGGCTGTGTTTCTCCTGCAAGAGAAGAGGTGAAACACTCGGATTTTGTAAGCAGTGTGTTTGCAAGCACCGGAATGTGCA